TTAAAATTTTTCCTAAAATTAATCATAAGTAAATTTTATCTAAACACTGGAGAATATTATTTTTGTTCACTCTCTAAGTTTGTTTCTTTTCTTTTATTATTTATAATTCAGAATTTATTTTCTGCCTGAATACTTTCGTTGAAAAAAAAAGTGTTGATTCCAAATTATCGTCAAAAAATTGCTTGTTAAAAAATAATACGATAAAGGTGGAACGCCCTATAGATAAAGATATAGAGGACAGGAAGGGAGAGTGGAAGCGCGCAAAGGATGATGTAAGTTTCTAACCAGGCGGACAATTCTATTCCCGATTTCGACTACGACCTCGCCTCGCCAGCGTCAGCGCGAATTGATGTTTGCCTCCGTTCAAGCGAGAAACGCCATCCTCCGTTTTTATACCATTAAGAGGACGTCTCGTGGTTCCGTTATGTACGAAGATGGGACTCAGGAAAGAGGGGGAGAAGGTGTTGACAACGTTACGAGTCTTTTCACTGCCGTGGATAATCCCAGTAATGCTGCAATTAAAGCATATCGCTAGTTAACTAATTTCTAGAATACTAATTCTAGAAGAGTGATAAAAATGTAGAATCTTATTCTGCCTTTATTGGATATTTAGTATATTGTTAAAAAATAATTTGATGAATATCCTTTAACCCTTTTCGCGTAAATCAAACAAGTAAACATTTGAATGGTTCCGAATGTGGGCAACATTTTAGAATTTAGATCGACAAAATTCAATAATATAATCGATAATCGCTTTGTCCGTAAAAGTGGCATTTACTATATCCACATTTATATTCGTATTCACAATGATAGCATCGATTTTTCGCGAGATTCAGTTCAGCTTGAACAACAAATGTAGTCACACCGCGACATCGGGCGAGGTTCCAAGCCAGTCTGACTGCCTAATTTATATTCTCGCACGGTTATGGGTTGCAGACTCGGTTATCGGTTGAGAGAATCGGCAGCGGAGTAACACTGCTTACTATCGAAATAGGCCAGGAAGCGAGCTCCGATATATTCCGCCCTGTTCCTATATTAGTTATATAAGTGGCAGTAACAACTTTACAGCGCATTGACATAAGTTACCAACCAGGTCCCGCTGCTGCTGCTACATAAACTTAGTTAAAATCTGACCTTATGTCCTTGCAAAACAGAAGAGAGACGAGAAAGAGAGAGACAAAGAGAGATACAACTTTCCTGAGATACGCGTTGCGAGCCGGACAAATTCCCTCGCGCATGCGTTTATTACATTCGAAATAAAACGGAAAGGACTGCGAAAACAAAATCTCATTGCATTACATTTAATATTTTATCTCAATCGTGTATTGCATATACTTATAAACCTCGTTATACGTGTAGATTAATGTCTAAAAAAGACCAACAATGTAAATTTTTAAGCTTCCTAATATTTCAGTAGAAAAAGTCTACGTGTTGTCCGACTTAAATTAACGATCATTTTAATAACTTATATATAAATTGTGTTTGAATAAATATATTAAATAAAGAATCTTCCTCTTTAATATACACTAATTGGAAGTAGATCTTACATATGTATATCAATTGAAATAGTATTTTCGAGCTTGATTCGTAGAAAAATATATAAATATTGAAAATAATATTGAAGCTGAAATACATGCAGTTGTGGAAAATGATGGTCTCTCGTCAAATTCGCGTCAAGAAAAAAAATCGGTTTTATATCGCTCAAAAAATCTACGTGTGAATGGACGTCCGGGTAGTGGAGTCGTTCCTCCACAGGCTCGTTCGCCTGTGAGAGTCATTGCGGTTTACCATCAACGACACAGAGCCAGCCGACTATATAAATTCGAAGGCAGCCATTTCTGCAGGCGCGTTTCTCGCCGCTTCACAACGCGATTTTAAAGCGCTACTGTCGATTCCGGTCTGCGCCCCGGTTGTGCGGTATAGCGGTAGACTCGACTGGTATGATTCTCGCGGAAAATCATGAATATATTCAAGAAGCACGAAATTTCTGAAGGGTCGTTCGTTCGCCGCCGTGACGGTCGAGACTCGAGGGTGAGAGCCGATCGGCCGAACGCGGAGGGTCGGACTCCTTTATAGAAATGCTTGATTTCCTCCCCTACAAATCCTCCCCCAAATAATTTACATTGGCCATCACGGAAGATGTAATATGGCCGTAATCTTATAATCATCTTCTTACAAGACGAAAACATTTTTGCGCGTTTTAATTTTAAACATATTTCCGCATTTGCGTTGCACGGAATCAATGTTTTAAAATACTTGCTAACAAAAATTCAATACTTATCACATAATATAAATAAAATTATAAGAGTTTATAAAAAAAAATTTAGATTTTTAGAAGAAGCATTTATATCAAACCTTGTTAACTTTATAAATAACTTTTCCTAAGCGAAGACTCGTGATTACTTACCTATACTTTGCTTTTTTTCATAACTCTTAAATTCTTAACATTATCTTAATAGTTAACATTCAAGTTGACATTCTGTGTTCACTTTACCATCTAATTTTAATTAACCAATTAATATCATAAAACCAGTTTCGCTCTATTTATTTGAATATCTTTGCAGTTTAATTGTCAAATGATTAGTTTCCGCAAAATCCTTTTGGAATTTAGAATTTATGAATTATAATAACACAGTAAAACACAATTTAAGTATTAAAATCTGTCATTTTTTGTCATTACTTTTGCAATATTAACTCTCGTAACAATGTAACGACGATTATTGCTCGTATCGGGAAAGCCTCATTGTCAACAGGGACTATTCGTATGCCGATTTTCGCAGCTTTTCTACGTAGGTTTATCGTTACCCAGGCAGCAGGTGCATGGCAACTAGGGTAGCGACGCTCATGTGAAAATACAATGTCGGCTCGCGAAACCCCCGCATTTGCTGGTGAAAAAATGTTGGAAAATGTTGAAGGAATAACGGAAGCTGTGGCTCCTTCCAGGAAATTGAATTTACAATTTCGCCCCCTCTTTTAAATGTCCTCTTTTGTCGGATAAAAGCTGCCTGCCCATAATACGCCGACATGTCAACAGCTCGCTCGCTCACTCGTCGAGCTTTTCTATGGAAACGCTTGGTCCTACAATGCGGCTCGCTTCTGACATCGACCTTCATAAACGACGTTGAGCTATCTTCCTCAACCCTCTTTATTCGGCTTCTCGTTGTCCCTCCCCCTCCCCCTCCCCCACTCACTCACAATGTTCCCTTCCCCCTTTCCGAAAATTGTGGTGAGATTAATTCTTTCCTCTCTTCCTGTCTCTTTGTCCCGTGACGTTATTATTCAAAGGGATTTTTCTTTGTTTTTCCCCCCTTCTCTTTTTTAAGTTAGAAAAACACCGCTGCCGCGGGCAGATGTCGATTTTCGCACATTCACGGCCGTCATAACTAACAAACGACGTTATAATTACTCGGATGTCGATTTTAGCGATGACGCGAACGCTCGCTCGATTATAGCAATTATTGTTTCTTGGCTGACGTATTTCAGGCACGTGCGCCCGTTAGGTAAATGGCTAAGTGATCCTTAAACAGACGCCACGTTTCGTTCAATACGCAATACCGGCACTTGACGCGCAGTTAATTGATTAATACCATGCGACTCGCGCGCGCGTGCGTCTCACTACAAAGATACGCGTACATAAATACTCCATAGATCTAATCCTATTTCAGTATCTATATAGATACTGAAATAGGATTAGATCTCTGGAGTACAGATTTATGGATTTTATTTCGACGTCTGCACGCCTCCCCTTTAATACCTGGGAGATTTATGTAATATCACGCGACGGCTTAAAGTATGCGTTATCGCAAAATATTTTTATAGTGATATATCCCGGCGAATGGCGTTCAATTTTAATAAAAATAATTAAATATCGATCAGCAACGTTGCACTTCGTGAAGCGATAAATGTTTCCGGCAAACAGGGAAACGGAGCAATATATAGTTGATAATTTCTCGAGATCGGCGTTTCGATAACTGGCAACGCATGATAACTTTAACGATTGAAAAATATGAAAGTTATAAGAAAAATAACGTTCGATAAAATCTGCATCTAACAAAATTCGATTTCCAGCTTGTAAAGAAATGTAGCTCGAGAAAACATATAAATGTTTTGCGTATCTTTTCGTAAAAATTTAATCAACATGTTTCACTGAAAAGAATGTTGATGCTTAATCGGGTATTCCGTTTTTTAACGTTGCGGGTAAATAATTTGCAAAAATATTCCATATAAGTTTGAATATTCATGAGATTCGCATTCTGTGTACATCTGCACGCATGCGGTACCGATATTTTAATTTTCGGTCATAAACTGCAAACCGCAGAAAAGAAAATTGCCGGGATTACGGGTTATTAATTCGTGTCCGGCAACTTTGTCCGTCACGTTGTCAAACGCACGACCAAACATACTTGAACCAGTACGTATACATGGTGGATTATTTTACGAATATAATTGATGATCGATATATTCTCTCAGCACAACGATTAGTGTTCTACCGGGACATTTATTTGTCATTAACGCATGGAAATGTGTCAAGGGGAACCTATATATTTTATAGAATATTTTATAAAATATATTATAAAAAATATTATAAAATATATATAATTAAAGGTCAAGCTCGTGTGTGTCAAATAATAAATAGGTTGCCGGCCAATAACGAGCAATGTTAGACGTTAAAATTCAAAATTTATTAATGTAACAATTACAAATGGTACGTTTCGGCAACACTGTGCCTTCCTCAGCCAATTTTAACAATTAATTGAAATGCCACGAATCATGTGTCAAGAGTAACAAATTTCCACATCGAAATTAACATACAGATAACATTGAGATCCAAAATATTACATACTGATGAAGTCATTAAAGTAGATTGACAAGGTGTATACTTGCTGAACAAAAATTCGGAATCGTTGTGTATCAATCTTAATTAAACGTCGAATGATAAAATCCATGATTAATTCCTCAGTCGGCAGTGAGAACGAATCGAGTCAATCTGTGATTTTTTGTCCGTCACAATCAAGAGTCAATAATTACGATGAAAGTGTAAACTGTAATCAAGAGTCAATGGATAAATTAATTTTTTTGTAAAAATTATAAATTAAAACTTATCAACGTGGATAAATCTAAGGCTATTATTGCACTTATACGTACTGAGACCATAGCAAATTCAAGTTAGTAAAGTTTTCAGAAAGAACTGTATCGTGTCGAATCTTGTGTGTGACTGAGCATTTTCGTTCCGTGTCGGAATCGGTTGACAACAATGATGTAAATAGACACATGTTTAACTCCCTATGAGTTGTTACTAAGTTCGTTTAGGATGTTAAAATAAGAACCATCCAGCAATTCAGTGTCTTTATTAGAATTAATACCATTTTTTTGTTCTTTGATGTGTATCATCTCTGATATTAGTCTCTTATAAAATATATATCCTACCGATCTATAATTATATTATTCGATTCTTGATTGTCAAATATTTTATTTATTATAGATCTATAAGTGATTTGTAATATGTAAATAAATCGGTAAGGAATCGAAACGTTGTGGATGTTTAATGTTAAAAAAAAGTTACCGAATTTTTTTCCTTGCTATTTTATGATAAAATAGCGGCAAATATGTTATTATACAACTGACACATGCTTCGACAAAAAAATCTTTGCGTCTTGATCATAAATCTACTAAAGTGAAATAAATCTTGGTTGGCAATTAATTAAGCGAAATAATACAGCAGCAAGAGAATTTCTTGCTATACGACCTTATTTTAGCTATATAGACTTCGCCAAGTAGAATAAGAAGGATCCTCTGCAAACTGCACTTGTTGGCAAATTTTTACTGCACGTTTTTCATCCGTATATTCAATGTTGACTTAAATTACAACCGTACACATTGCATCCAGGGGAAGATACGTGACTTGGTTCTCTATATCTATAAGTTGTTTCGCAAATATAAAATTAATTTTTATTAGTGCAAATAGAAGAGCTATTATTTGTCATGTTCTTTGAATTTAAACTTCAAACGGTTCAGTAACTAAAATTTCAAACTAAATTTCTCTCAAAGTTTGTATGAAATTTAAGAAGCGACGTCTTATTATCCGTGTAACGTTTAAGGCTTGATTCGTAAAATTATTTACAAATTATATTTATGTATTGTACAAAGAAGTGTTGAAACCTAAATACTAAAATTTAATTTCTTTTATTCAGATTGCCTACATATCACAAGTCAGGAGAAATTACGCACTCTAAGATACATTTTATACAACATGAAATAGGTAAATAGCGGAAAAGAGAAACCACGCGATGATAACATCGTGTATCTTGGTAGAAATTTCATTCACTTTCTGGAGTATTGTGGCAACGTTCTTACTCGCCTTAACGATCACTCAAATAATGAAATTTACTATCTTTGTATAATGCATTTTTACGAGAAAGCCTTAAGTATCGTGACTCGCCTTTCTTATAATTTTATATCTTACATCATACGGCAGAGCCTTTAATAAAGTATATATATATAGTTTATATGAAAGCTTACATAGATCTGTGCTTTCAAGTTTCCTCGATGCAAATCCAACGTTACGAGCATTATTAGTTCGCTTTGGAAGCAATTATCGTTTGACTATGCACATGCGAAACAATCCCTTTATAGAATATATTGCGCATTATATTGATATAATCAGTTCATGATTTCCGAACAGTTCGATGTTACGAATGCGTTATTTCTCATTTACGATCAGTTAAACAAAAAAATAATAATGCTCCTTTATTACTAATACATTTTATAAATAACGCATGAGGTTGCATGGTGTAAGTTTGTGATCAATACTAAATTCCATATTCGCAAGTGCTTATGCGGCCGTTTTAATAGAGAATAACAGTATTAAAGCTTAATAACTCTTAGCAAACATTGTGCTATAATATTAAAACAAAATGCATCTACGAAATCTTTGCTTATATAACAGATGATTAGATAATAAAACTTTTAATCTAGTTCGCACGTCCGTATTTTGTGTGCTTTGGCAGTATCGTCGGAAGCGGAGCACTATTTCCCCGTTAAAGTCTTTACATAAGAGGAATGAGAGAAGAGGCAAGGGTGATGGTTTTGCATTGAATTTGGCGCGGTGCGTGTGATGCAGCCGGGCGAGAGGAAGTTCCTTTTAGAAAATAAATCTTCGGCGCAGTGGAAGTTTAATTTTATCGCCGTCACGGAGGTTCCCGACTAGGAGAAGGGCCGCCGTCTCTAAAAGGACCGGACTAAATTAAAAGAAAGGATCTCTGAATGAGACCACGGGTGCTGAAAGTAATCACTTTATCTGCAGCCGCCACTCCAACCCGCTGGCTAATCTGAGCCCCGCGTTTTGGGGCTGAATCGCCCTGTTTGGCCCGTCCTTCCACGTCTGCCTCATTTCCATACTCATCTTCCCAGGTGATTCTCGAAAATCGCATGCGATCTTCCCCTATGCCTCTCATGCATGTGCTATAATCATACGCATCTGGACGTTATTCCAATACTCGTAGTAACGAGGTAAAACTCGGTCGCCCTCTATCTCGATTTCCACGATAATATATTCTTTACATAATTACATACTATACTAATCTATACTAATCAGAGTAATTCAGGATAGATATAAATAGAAATAGTACGGAAATACACTTCTCTTTTTTAGTTCAATCAGATCTATGTCCACAATAATGTAGGAAAGTGATATTTTTCTTATAGTTTTTTCTAAACACTCTCCATATACATGTGTTATAAATAAACTTCAAAACTGTAAAGCTAAAGCTATATAGAATAGTTCAATATCAGAGATTCCTGATCCTTGAAATGAGGTCACATATTGGGACGCGGCTAGTATAATTTAGTTTGAAAAAAAAAAATACACATAAGGGACACTGGATTGAAAAAAAATCCCATGTTCAAGATCAAATCCTGCTACTGTCTATATCTGCCAACGAAAGGCGCGTGACATCAGTCTCTTTGCTCGAGATTACAACTGGAGATTGAAAAATCTAGAAAAATTCCTGTTATCATAACAAGTCAGATTAGTGTTACAGCGTCCGTTATATAACATGAGAGTTTCTAACAAACAGAGTGATTTTGAATTTCCATCTCGTGTTATTTGTTTCACGTGGCAACAATTTTATACATATATATCGCAAAATCAATAACTACATATCGTAACAAAAATATCAGCTCTGAGGCAGCGCGCAATCATATTTGCATTAAATCGAACGTAATGGAACGCTTTGATGATAATACCGCGAGGTCGTCGCAACCACGACAGCCGATGGCGCAAATTCGCAGATTTATTCCATCTCCCCTCAGTTAGACCGCAGACAATTTTCACCGCGCCGAACCTATCGACCCTTACAGGTCGGCCCCCGTCGAACTTTAATTCGCGCGATCCGCGCTGGTTTTGAAAGGGACAGCGCCGGTTATAAATCTGGTTTGGACACATCCGATTATTGGTGTGCGGCCATTGCTATTTGCGACGCAAGCGCGAGATGATGCAGCGGTTCCTTGGTAAGAATTTATGAAGCAATACTAAGTTTGGCAGTGACCCAATCGACCAACAAGTTTCGCGACACCCTGCACCCCTCGGATAAACAAATGCGGTACGATACTCGCGCGAGTTCTCGCGCTGTTCTCGCGATCGTCGTGTCGCAAGAAAGAGTAATTTCGGAATCTCTCGTAGTCTAAACCGTCGCGAGATCTATAGATCACGCGAAAAGTGTCCGATTCTGTCTGCAAATTCATCGAGATACTTCTCGCCTGCAAGTTTCGCGTCGAATTTTATGGATCACTTGCCACCAGTTTTGAGATTACTGCGATATCAAGTTCTTGATACACGATTTTATTACTTGACAAAGATTTGAAACTGATATTTTCCTAACAAAAGTGTAAATAAGATATCTAAGAGCGGTATTCATAGTTGGATCTTATATTTTAAACCACCTTAAGTTTAATCTTAAGATCTTATAAATCAATGATTCATAACGGTCTTGAAATAAGAACAGATTATGAACATCGACCTAAAAAGTTATCTAGCATATATTAACAGGTTTCAATAAATTAAACTTAAAAATAAAGCCCAATTTCAATTTCTATTAATATCTTTAATAAACTTTTGTTTTAAACAAAAATTTAATTGTGAGTTTGATTTGAAAGATATGTAATGTTGAATTTTCAAGAATAATGGCTCTCAATCATATTTTTATTATAGAAAAATCGACTCCAAACTCGTCAAAGTATAAAACCTTCCTACTGAATCCTACATTTTACGATAAATCCCATGAATGCGCAAGCACGTTTCCCGCAGACGCGTATCTAGGTAGAAATGTATATATAGGTACAGTCCTTTCTACATCCCTTACCCTCTCTCGTCGATTAAATTTCTTTTCGTTAAAATAGTTAAACGATAGAAAGATAGTGATAGAAGACTACAAATTAAAAAAAAAAAAATATATATATATATATATATATAAATTTAGAAAACAATTAATAAGAATTTTATATAAAATAAAAAAACTTTTACTAATTTTTCTCTAAAAGATGTAATTGTTCTATTTTGTTTATCTATTTTGTTTTATTCTAGTAAAATTCGAATAACTATTTCTGTTAACTATATCGTTCCGTTAACCTTTAGAGTATAAAGTATAATTAACAAAAAAAAACTACAGATATTTGCATCAACAAAAACAACCATCAGAATTTTATTTAAAAAATAATCGTTGTATTTATATTAGCATGTTAGCAATCGCATTTATTTTGATATTTTTCTAATAATGTTTTTTCTCCAATTTGTGTATGCTATGGGATATTTTAGTTTAGCAAAAGAAACATTGTTTTAAAAATAAACGGCTGATTTTGCTTTAACAAAACTAATTAATGCATTCAGTTACACGAAACGGAAAGTTAAACGCTTTGTTTTTCAAATTAACGACGGAATATCCTAGTTTGAAAAATCTTGTATGCGCGCTTGGTATCCTGCATTTGCACGGAGACTGTTTCCTAGAGTGATGTTGAACATATACCAGTTTCGAGAAACTGTAACTGACGTTGTTCCACTTCGCTTGCTCGTGCTCGGCCATTCGCGAGAGTACGCACACGCGTCGTATCACATACACGGTGTCGTGGTTACTCGAAGTCTTGAGAATATCGGCGGAAAATGTTTCAGAATAGTCCACCAGTTTGACGTACATCAGTAAGCTGTTTTTGCTGAATAGTTCCTACCGAGTTGACAATGCGACATCGATAGAAATATCTGATAAACAGAAGTTAAGTTATACGCTAACTGCATATTTATACGGACGCATAAATAGGCTTAGTTCGTGTAAATATTATATGGACGCGAGTGTCTTTTATGTGTTCAGTGATATATTGCCGCGTATGTTTCCCCATAACTTCCAGA